CATTTTACATTTTACAATTTTTATACATTATAAGCACAAAAAGCACCTTTTTAATTTTTAGTTGTTTTATTTTATCTCATTAATTCTTGCTTGATGTCCTTTTTTGTTGCTGCGATCTTTTGTTTTCTAAAGGTCTAGTGTTGACCACAGAAAGAGACTTACTGTGACGCTATTGTCATTTGTCGAAAACTTCTCAGTTTTGTGCAACCGATGGTTAAAAAATGGTTAAAACATTTCAGTTCATTCAGATTTTTTGTATTCAAAGTAGAAAAAAAATTTGAATGTTTGATTTGAATGAGTATACCAGTGCAATTTTAGGCAGGTTATTTAAACATATCGTGATATACAGGGTGGGCCATTTATATGGATACACCGTAATAACATGGGAATGGTTGGTGATATTAAAGTCCTGTTTGTAGCACATTACTCATCACTATATGTGAGGGGGCAAACTCCTCAAGATGGGTGGTGACCATGGTGGCCATTTAGAAGTCGGCCATCTTGGATACAACTTTTGCTTTTTCAATAGGAAGAGGGCCAAACAGTGTGGGAGCATGTTGACAGAGAACAGAACAAAAGAGACATCCAACATCCAAAGAAGAGCTTTAAATGTCCTTGAAGAAGCCTGCAGAGCTATTCCTTAAGACTATTAAGAAATTACAAAAAACTTTCCCTCAGGAAGTTCAGGTTGAGTTGAAGAATAAATGTGGTCAAATTATTGACTTTCAAGCTCATTATAATTGTACAAACTCTGTTTTTGCTTTATACATTGTATTTAATGTATGTTTGGACATGTTTAAATAAACCACAACATGTTTTTCTAGCAAAATATATAAAGAAATGAGGGACAGCTCAAGGCTTTTGCACAGCATAACCTGTATGACCTGTACATAGCACAGCAGTCAGAGAGAACTCTGAACAATATCCTTACAATATAAAGCGCCATCTGACGTACAAATAGGCATCCATAGAGAACCATAAGCAGTGAGATCCACTGCTTCCCATTGTTAAGTGACTGACAAGCTGACCCTGTTCCCACGCTCATTTAGATTTATACTGAGTCATGTACCTTTTCTGGATACAGTATCTTTACCTATTATACTGGGAAACTGACAGTGACCTCATCTCTACAACCTTCAAATTAAGGCAGCTTCTCTGGGCTATAATTAGACCAGCTGTACAAAGGCCAACCTGTGCCATTAAAAAGTAAAATACTCACACTTCCTGCACTAATCGACAATGATCTCAGCATGTCAAATAAAGAATGACTGTGTTCTAATGAATTGCTGGATGTACTTAATTCTTCATTTTCACTCAGCGTGCCTAGCTAATCTAAACAGAAGGTAAACAAAACAATTTGAGCAAATGAACTTTAAAATTAAGATTCGTCTACTGTGTCTAACAATTTAAAAAGAGTTTTCACAGCTCTCTATGCAGTTTTGTGAAAAATGAATTGCATCCCACGATTCAAGAGCTTCAAGTAATTGTTTCTCTTTATGACTTTATCAGTCATCATGGTTACGGAGAAACAGATAAACATTCTATTCGATTCACTTTATTGTTACAAGACAAGCAGACAGGCAGTACAATGAAAGTGCAGAGAACACAGTAACATGCAAGATGAGATAAAATTGTTAAATTTAGGGAAAAGAAAAACATTTCTACATGTTACCAAACTGCCAAAGATTTTATAGACATTTTGGCATATCATCAATCAATTTCCCCTGCTAATTAATTGCATTTGATTAACTGCTTATCAACAGGGAGTTTACACTTATCATTATTTATTCATGTGCATTTGATTAGTAATGCCTGGCTGCTACTTACCCCCTATCCTATGGAGGCAGCCAGCATGTCCATAGTTTTTCAGAGGACTGTATGCACAAACATCAAATGTAACAGCGGCCAGACATGTGGCTTTTACTACTGCTTTTTATTTGAAGGTATATTGAAAGTTGAATTGTTCCTGTTTTATAACTGCAAAATTTATTGTTCCAAATGGTTGGAGAGTGAAACCTGCAAACAGCGTTTTGCGACCGGCTTGTCCACTCTGAATACAAAGTAGACTCCTGTTATCACACATGCACATTCCTGGCACGTCCTGCTGTTCCTCCCTTGTCAGATGGAT